AACCAAAGCAAAATTCACTTGAAAATGAAATGACACCAGAAACAAAAGAAATAAATGTACCTGTGATTTTTACAGGTAAAAGTTTTTGCTCCACTACAAACACAAAATATAATAGGTTTAATTACGTGTATAAGGCTAAGAGTTAGCCGTGAAATCAATTCACCATTTCCATGGGCCAAAAGTGAAATTAAAATCACTGCAAAGTTGGAGAGTGAAACCGAAAACTTGTACTTTATCAATTCAAGAGAAGCATTAGAGAGAGAGAGAGAGAGAGAGAGAGAGAGAGAGAAGGAAAAAATGGTAAACAGGGGTGGGAAAGGGAGGGAAAGGGAGGGGGCAGGGGATTAGCAAGGATGGTGGAATGTGATGGACATCATTATCCAAAGTACATGTATGAAGACACAAATTGGTGTGAATATTCTTTATATATGAGAGAGATATGAAAAGTTGTGCTATATATGTGTAATAAGAATTGTAATGCATTCCACTGTCATTTATTTTTTAAAAGTCAATTAAAAATGGTGAACAGGAAAATAAAAAAGATGGTAGATATAATCCATAATTTATTTGTAATCATAGCAGATTTAAATAGATTAAATGAGCCTGTTTAAGATAGAAGCCTCAAAATGATTTTTTAAATTAGTCACAAAAAAATCCATTTGTTATTTTGTTTAAAAGATCCAAACCAAAATAACATGTTTGAAAAAAAAAAAAAAACAGGAGATGGCCAAGTGTGGTGGCACATACCTGTAATCCCAGAGACTCGGAAGGCTATGGCAGGAGGATTGCAAGTTCAAGGCAAGCCTTAGCAACCTAGTGAGGCCCGAAGCAACTTAGCAAGGTCCTGAGAATGTGACTCAGTGGTGAAGCATCCCTGGGTTCAATGCTGGTCTCAAAAAAAAAAATTTTTTTTTAATGAGATAAAGGAAGATACACTAGACAAACAGTAACCAAATAAAGCTGATTTGATGTGAGCATCACCAGGTGAAATTGGACTTCAGGTGAAAAACCCTCATAGAACGAATGAGAAACACCAGCACATTGAAATAATAACCTAGAAATTAGGTTTACCATCAGGATTCCTGTATAAAGGGTGAAACTTTAAAACTGGTTCTGGTCCACCTTTTTTTTTAAGACTTTACTTTCGAGAACAACCCTTTGTTTTGGCAGGTGATGCCTAGCTTACATTGCTGCACTCACCAAAAGCTCAATGTAAATATCTCAGTATGATTCAAAGACCTGCATTTCTTTTTTTTTTTTAGACATTTTATTTTATTTTTTAACATATGTATTTGGTATTTTTATTTATTTATTTATTTTTGTTGATTTTATTTTTCTAAATACACAACAACAGTGGAATGCATTACAATCCTTATTACACATATAGAGCACAATTTTTCGTATCTCTGTATATATACGTATGTTCACGCCAATTTATGCCATTATACATGTATTTTTTTGCATTACAATTCTTAATACCATATATACCACAATTTTTCATATCTCTGTTTGTATATAAGATATGTTGACACCTAATTCAAATCTTCATACATGTACTTCATTTCTATCTACATTTTCTCTTCTTTTCATGGAACATTTACCATTGACTCTATTCTAGCTATTGTTTTCAAAGGACTGACATCATGTAACCCAGTTTTACTTAATCTTCAGGGAAAGAAAATTTTATACAATGCGTTTAAAGAAAAATAAAATTAGAGCAAGACCTTCCTATTTGTTGTATTATATGAGACTAATGTAGCCTTGATGATGCAAATACAAAATGACAAGCCAAAAAGTAAAGCAGACTTATTTCATGAATGAATAAAGAGAAGAAACCAAACAAAATTTAGTAAGTTGAATCCAGCAGTATATTAAAATATGTCATTTTCAAAAAAAAGAATTTATTCCAGAGATGCAAGGATGGTTTAGCATCAAACCCTTCTTAAAAAAAAACTACCTATATTAACAGCTTGAAGATAAAAAATGCATATGACTAACTCAACACATATAGAATTTGAATAGCATTTAGCACTATACACAAAAGGCTATTAGCTAGCTAGAAATCAAAAAGAATTTCCTTAATGTGAACAAACATATCTTCCAAAAAAGCTACTTGATACATGATATTGAGTAGTAGGAGATGGAGTTAAGAGATGTCTTTTTTCCTGATTTTAAGGGAAACGCACTTAAAATTTTTACTGTTAAGTTTACCATTACATATGATATGTGCTATAATTTTTGGTCAGTCAGTACCCTTTATCAGATCAAGGAAATTACCACCTCCCTCATTTATAAGAGTTTTTATTCTGATATTACATTTTAGCCAAAACAATAAGACAAGAATAAAACAAAATTATCATTATCTGCAAATAAACTACCAGAATTGATAAGAAATTTGATAAGCACATAAAAATGAAAAGCATTTAAACATAGGTGATAATCAATTGAAAAATGTAATAGTAGCTATAAAAATGCAAAGTATCTTAACAAAATATCACTACCAAAGTTAATCTAACAAACTATATGTAAAACTTTATGAGGAAAATGCATTAAATGTTACTAAAGAACATAAAAAGAAATCCTGAATAAATAGCAAGATAAAAATTATCATAGATAGAAAAACTCAATACCATAAAATGTTTCTCTATAAATTATTCTGTAAATTCAATGTAATTCCAATCAAAATACCAAGAGAATGTTTCTAGGGTATTTTAGCACTATTCTGAAATGTATGAAGAATAGTAAAAGTAGACAAATATCCAAGATAATTCAGAAAAGGAAAAATGAGCAAGAGGATTTGTTCTATGAAAAATCAAAATTTTTTATAAAGTTATAAATAAGGGGGACCAGAGTGGCATAGAGATAGACAAGAAATCAGTGGAACAAATTTGAAACACCAGAAACAGACATGATAAAATACAGGAAAAAAAATAGCAGCACTTCAAACATCTCACAGCATTTGTGTAAATTGGCATAACCCTAGTGAAAAGAAATTTGGCAATATTCTAGGACAGCTAAAAAATAAACGTGCACATCCCATAACAGAGAAACTCTACTTCTAGTCTCACATACTAGAGAAACTCTCACAAACAAATGAGACATTGAAGATTTGTTCATAAGGAAAAAAGTTAGAAATAAGTGAAATGTGCAATCCAGAGAAGGAATATCAAAATATGATATATTCGTGTTAAAGAATACTCCACATCAGTTAAAATAAATGAGTAAATCCATACTTATTAACATGGACAGATCTCTGAAAAACCTAGATAGACTGTAAGAAAAGGCCTTGAAATGTAGTGTATGGTATGAGATTTTTTTAAGTCATTGTTAAAAGCACAAATTTATTACATACTCTTTGCAAATGCATTTAGTATATACATAAAAATCTGCTCTGTACAGACCCCTAAATTCATGATAATTTTTCTTTCGAGGAGGGAAAGCATTGGACCAAAAAGGGAAATAGAGGAGATTTAAACTTTATATTTGATGTCTTATCTCTTTAAAAACAAATCTGCCACAGACTAGGAGAAAATATTTATAAAGGACATATCTGATATAGGTGTCTTATCCAAAATATACAAAGAGCTCTTAAAACTTAACAATAAGAAAACAACTCAATGTAAAAAGGGCAAAAGAGCTGAACCCCTAATCAAAGGAAGTACACAGATGGTAAATAAGCATATGAAAAGATGTTCAGCATCATGCATCTTTAGGGATTTGCAAATTAAAACAATGAGATACCGCTGCACACCTATGTAGCCAAAATCCAAAGCACTGAGAACACCAAATGCTGCCAAAATGTGAAGCAACAGGAACTATCATTCATTGCTGATGGGAATGCAAAATGGTACAGTCACTTTGGAAGACAGTTGGCAATTTCTTTAAAAAACTAAACATATTCTTACTATAGGATCCAGTAAGTGTGGTTTTTTTTATATTTACCCAAATGAGTTGAAACTTTATATTCATACAAAAACATGCACATGAATATTTATAACAAATTACTTATAGTTGCCCGTATTTGGAAGCAACCAAGATGTTCTTCAGCAGGGGAATAGACAAACTATGGTACATCCAGACGATGGAATATTATCAAGCCCTGTTTTAGTCAGCCTTTTCACTGCTGTGACTAAAAGGATCTGACCAGAACACTTTTAGGGAAGTAAAAGTTTATTTGGGGGCTCACGGTTTCAGAGGTCTCTATCCATACACAGCAGACTCTCTATTCCTCTGGGACTCAGGGTGAGGAGGGACATCATGGTGGAAGAGTGTGGCAGAGGGAAGCAGCTCACAGGATGATCAGAAAGCAGAGAGAGAGAGAGAGAGAGGTCTCCACTCAACAGATAAAATATATACTCCAAAGCCATGCCTCCAATACCCATCTCCTCCAGCCACACCCCACCACTTCAGTTACCACTCAGTTAATCCCTCTCTGGGGATTAATTCACTGATTGGGTTAAAATTCTCACAACCCAATCATTTCTCCTCTGAACCTTCTTGCATAGTTTCACACGTGAGCTTTTAGGGGACAACTCACATCCAAACCATAACAAGCCCTAAACAGGAATTTGCTGTCCAACCATGAACAAGCAACAGATGCATATTACTAACTGAAAGAAGACAATCTGAAAAGGCTAAATATTGTATGATTCCAAGTATATGACATTATGAAGAAAGCAAAACTAGGGAGATAGTAAAAAGATCAGTGGTTTCCAGAAACCAAGAGATTTTTAGGGTAGCGAAACTACCCTGTATGATACTGTAATTGTGTATTCATATCATCACACATTTGTGCAGATCTATAGAATGTACAACACCAAGAGTAAATCCTAACAGAAATTAGGGACTTTAATTAATAATATGTCAATGTTCGTCCACTGATTGTGACAAATGTACCCCACTGGTGACAGGGGAGACTGTAGGGGAGGGGGAGAGAGATATGGGAAATCCCTGGATTTTTCCACTTTCCATTCTTTTGCTGTGAACCTGAAACATCTCTAAAAATAAAATATATTTCACTTTAAAGATTTGAATTACATATGAAAAATGTTAGGCATTTGTTCATTTTGGCTGGTGGTTTTCTTTTTGTAGACTTTTAATTTTCAAATAAAATATTTCGAAGAAAAATTGGTCAGAAATATCAACAACTGTAAATTTAGAAAAATAATGATTGATATTTAATAGTGGTAAGAAGCAAAATTCACAAAGAAGATATAATCATCATAGACACTTGTACTTCTAAAAAGTCAGGAATTTATGAAGTAAAATCTATTAAAGCATAAAGAAACACTGAGAAAACCACCACAATAGTGGGAAACATTAACTTTTATTTTAAAAAAAATCAATAGATAAAATAGATTAAAAAAATAAATACATAACAGATTTGAAGATCATCATCATAAACCCAATTTAATAGAGTCTGAACTTCATAATAGAAAACAGAATACTTATACTTTTCAAATATCCTTGGAACACTTTTTAAAATTGATTATATATTAGACTGCAAATAAAACTCAAAATAACTTAAAGATAAAAATAGAGCTGACCTGGTGTCTTTTCCCTAATTAGATCACAGTAGGAACAGGTCAGGCAGCCAAAGAAGGTCCCCCCTTACCAAGCTCAGCCCAACACTGGGATCTTAATTCAGGAGCAAAGTCTCCCCACCTCTCCTATGGTAACAGAGATGCCAGAGTAACTGTGTTCCTCTTCGGATATAATCTTTCCTCAGAAGAAATAAAAAATAAGAGTTCAGTGGAGGAAAGCTATAGTCTAAATTTTTTCTGACCTAATTTGCTTAAGTGCTAACCCTCTCTTTCACCCAAGCCTGAACCCTACCTTTTAGGACAACGGATATGGATTCTCTGTAGAACCTTGACTGGTTAAATTTCCCTTTAAATTAGTTGGACTTGGTGGAATGAAAGAAACAAACAGGGAAAGAACACAAGAGGTGATTCGAGAGAGAGAAGGGTGAGATATTGGTGAATCTCAAATGCCCAAGGGAAGCCCTAGGTGCAAAGCACATTCCTCAGGCTTCCCAAATGAAATTTCTCTCTGGCTGATTTAACACATGTCAGCTGGGCTTGCTCACCATTACAAGCAGTCCGTGTTCGGGTTTCAATGGCCATGTGTAAAACGGCAGAATGGGCTAGGTCTGCACCCTCCCCATAAACCTGAGTCAGAGATAAATAGAAAGATTTATAAAGGGGAGGTACAATTCTTCAGCTACATTGGTTTAAAGATGGTGAAATAAATGAGTTAAATTGTTCACTCAAGGTGTTTCATGAAGCAGATCTAATGTGCAGTTTTGTGATCTGATGTGACTTTAACTTCTCAGTAAATCAAAAAAGCTTAACAAATATTAAGATGGCAAAGATGACCTGTGTGGGACAGATTTTGATCTTTCATTCATTATCGTTTAAGAAACCAAGGGCTCCAGAAGAAAGCAGCCAGCCAGCAGGTCATGTGACCAAGAGAAAGCACAGAGCGGGTAGAAAAGGCCAAGCCACTGCCAAGAGCCTCCCAGTGACACTGGTCTCTCCAGTCCTCCAGGAAGGATGCCTGAGATTTATGACCAGGGAAGTTCCAGAAAGTCAAGTCCACCCTTTGCTGGGTGTTTCCCAAGGACATCTGTTTCAGCTCCCGACACCCCCTCAAAACAGACCAGTTCATTGAAGTTGCCAAATACAAAGTATGGTGACCCTCTTTGGGGCAATGATGTGGGTGTTACCCTGGGCCCTCCCAAATCAACTGGGAAAACACCATGTGGGAGAAGTTTCCCCAAGTATGCAATTTTATAAAATTGGTTTAGAAGCAGGGTGCCATGGTGCATGCTTGTAATCCCAGCAACTCAGGAAGCTGAGTCAGGAGGATCTCAAGTTCAAAACTAGCCTCAGCAACTTAGCAAGGCCCTGTCTCAGAATAAAAATAAATAAATAAATAAGGCTAGGGGCTGGGATTGCGGCTTAGCGGTAGAGCGCTTGCCTAACACGTTCGAGGCCCTGGTTTTGATCCTCAGCACCATAAAAATAAATAAATAAATATATAAAATAAATAAATAGGGCTAGAGATGTGGTTCAGTAGTTAAACACCCTTGGGTTCCATGCCCGTTACCAAAACAATCAAATAAGTAAAAAATAAAAATAAATTGACTTAGAAGACCCCGAATTATCAAGCTTTTTCATCTGAAGAGGGTAAACCACTAGGAAGACAAAAGCCAGAGGCTCCACCCTTTTTATCTTACATATACCAAAACAATCCTGGAGGCTGGAGTTGGTCATTTGCCCATGGAATAATTGGAACCTCCAAATCTGAGAGTTGGAAAGACTTAGCAGTCATCTAGTCCTGGAGACTCAAGTAGTGACTGGTGGAAGCTGGACCATTCTGGCCTTGTGGGCCTCAGAGACCATCAAAGCAATTGAGGAAAAAACACAAGCAGAGATGAGGTTCCGGGGTTCCTTGCTTATTCTTGCAAAACAGCTCTACCAGCACATTAGTTTACCTATTGTAATTACACATAGGTTTTGTGGAGAAAGAAAGTCTGCCTCTGCTTATTTTACCGATGACGAAAGTGAGGTCTAGGAGAGAACAGCAGGGCACAGTACATAACCCAGCTATAAGAGTTTCAATGCTATAGGAAGAAAGAAGACCCATTGGCCAGGAGGTCCCAAGGTCCCTTCAGTAAATATACCTTTCCAAGGGGAGATGAGAAAAGTCTGGGCCTCCAAGGTGAATGGATGAGTAAACTTGAAAAATGGTACCCAAACTTGGGAGTGGTGAAATGGGAGCCATGGCAGAAATGTTTTCCAAGTCAAAGGCACCACACATCTGCCTCTCAGATCTCTATTGTGCAGGGGTCATGGGTTCATCTGGGATGATGTGGATCTGTGTTTCCCCCAGGGCCCATTTAATAAAATGTCCAGGCAGAGACCTCTCCTCCAGCCACTCCCCTTGTCTGCACAAAGACTTAGAGTCAATGCTGAGAACACTCCCAATTGCTCCTCTTTAGTTTCTGGGAGGCCATGACAGGAGACATTCTTGGTAACAAGGCTTAGAGGTCTCAGTGTTTCTCAGAGCCCAGGAAAACACTTTCTCATGTATCCAGCGTTTTGCCTTGCCTGTGTTAAAGAGAGAGAATGCAGAAAGAAATGAGTTGTGAAGGTTTATATTGAACTTTGTCCTGATAGATAACCAAAATGACTGGCTTGTTTTTTTTTTAATTTTGAATTTTTAAAGGTATTAGTCTCCATTATGACTTGCCCGGGAGTCCATAATAGCCTCATTTTATTAGATCCAAATTTCCTATTTAGACAAAAGAGCCTAAGAGCCTCTTCAGAACAAGTAAATAATATGCATTTTCCAAAGTAATTTGCAGACACAAACACATATGCACGCTGCTCAGATTACCAATAGGACAAAATCACCCAGAAGAAGATGATGGTGTTTTATAATTTTAAAACTAAATGTTTTTGCACCCAAACAGAAATACCTACTGTGTCCAGGAAAGGTCCCTCGGTGTGCTGAATAAATTGCACCTCATTTTTATCTCCTCCTGTACACAGTTTCTGATGGCTTTAAAAAGGCAGCTGGGAGAACACCATCTTCAAACCTGTACACCACTTTCAAGAATAGATTTCCCTGTCTCTCTCCCACTTCCACAATCAGCCAGATGAAATAGCCTCGTGCCCATTCTCAGACATCACTTTTGCAAAGGAATTAGAGCACCAGCTTACCACAAGCTTCAGGTCCCTTCTGCTGGCTGTCTCCAGGCTCAGCTCAGTTGGGAACTGGGATCTGGGCCAAGAAGAGCCCAGCTAACCGCTGACATCCACTCAGCACCCACAGGCAGACCAATAGGAGTAGTAGATTTGTCTATCCTAAGCCCAGTAACAGTAGGGCTAAAATTAGTCATCCAGAGGCCTGAGGACAGACTAGTGGAAGCAAAAATGGAGGCTGGGAGAGGGAGGGGAAAGACCAACTATGGAGAAGCAGCCTGGGCATCTCCTAACTCCCCCTAGAGGAGGGAGTGGGAAGTACTGGATTCTTCTATAGGGGCTGCATGGCAGCTGCCTCTGACCCTCAGGACAGACTCGGGGTCAGTGACTCTCTGCTGTCCACTCAGGCAGAGTCACCTCCCCACTAAAAAACCCTTTCCACTCCTATCTGTTAAATCCTATCAGTTTAATTCTTCAAACTTCTACCTTCCTTATAGAAACTTCTCTAAATTAATTTGGGAAGATTGAAGTTGTTTAATCATAGTCTAAAACAGTTAAAAATGGAGCTGATGATGCAAGTCCAGGTGGCACATAGAATGACGTGTGAATGTTTGCACATATCCCAAGATTGTTGGCACTTGGGTGGTGGGGAGGACATATCTTTCAGGGTTAGTATTTATTCCTACTTCTTTCCCAATAAATCAATTGAATTCAATTTTCTTCCTAGGAATTTGCTTAAAGCAAAAGTAATGACCCTCTTCACAAATTCCCTACAAGAAGTTTATTATTTTTACCAAAACAAACAAATGGAGAAGGGTACTGAATTGCAATGCCCAACAGACAGTCATGGTGACACAATTGATATCATGGACCACATAATCCCACTCCACCCCACCCCATTTACATAAGAAAGAAAGAGAGGCAGGGTCAAGGGGAAGGGGAAGTGATTTCATGACTTATGTGTTTTATTGGGGTCAGTTTTATGGTTAATGCAAAACCAAAAGGACCTTGGACACTAATTGGCGATAGAGGATATTGTACCAAGTGTTGGTCTTTGTGTTAATAATGGATAAAAGAAGGCTGAGGTCTGAGCCAGAGGAGAAGCTTATTTGGCATTGACTTTTGTCATTGCCACTAAATGTTGTCACAAGTAGACAAGGTAAGCTGGGTTAATTGTAACATTGCTCATGTTTCTTTGTTCTAACAAGAGCCACTTTTCCTGCTACAAAGGTAAGACAGGTGTTCCATCCAAGGCATTTAAAATGGCAGGTGCCAGATTCTAAAGACACCTCCTAAAGCAGAGCTCATTCAGATGGTCCCAGGAACACCAGCATGAATTGCTGCACTGATTATCTTGAAAGAGATAACATTCAAGAGGATGTAAAATTTCTAATATATCCTCCAAGAAGACAATCATGGAACCTTGGAGCCATACCTTGATATAGATAAAACTACTTCTAGTTGAATGTATTGTGATTTCTCCAGAATGGACATCCTTTATACTTTCCTAGAAAGCTCTTCTGTTTTCTCCATTACTCTGTGTGTTCCTCTAGGAAAGGAGTCAGAATTATTCTTTCTAGAAACACCTCAATGCATGCCAACCACAGAGCACAGAAGTCTCCTATGCATGTGCTCCAGACAAATTTTTGAAGTTTTATGGTGCTTTCCAGCTCTTGATCTTGGTCCTGTTTCCATCTCGTGAAGACATGCACTCACAGAACCAAACACTTTAAAAGCTGATTGAAGATAAAGACACCCACTTACAAACATCAAACACCACTGATTTCCCAAAGCCTCACAAGCTCCATCAGAAGGCCGAGAGAGTCACAATGGCGATTTAATGATGAGACTCTTCCAGGTGCTTTCAGATTAATATGGTCCAATGTAATGTCAGGCTAGGAAGAATAAAGGTTAATTTATTCTATTAGTCCCAATTGTCATAAGAATTTTACCCAACAATATGGTTCATTACATGCTGAATCTAACAATTATGTTCACCATAATAGAAATTATTCAGACAGATATGATCTGAATAGTTGTGATTTATTAATTTAGACACAAATTTAATTAGCGATTGATTTCCATTGTGTCTCTCTCTGAACATAAGTTTTGTGGAAAAGCATCCTGGAAAGAAAATATCAACTAAGAAATATCAGGTAACAATAACTAAGCAACAAGTCCACTTTTGAAATGCTATTTTGTCTTTCCCCTGAAACAGTAACAACAAAACTCATTCCAGGCAGCTTGAAGAGGTGGTTATTTTCCTTCCATCTGAGACACTCCTCCTGATCGCAGAGGTAATGATACCCCAGTGAGTTATACAGCTGTGCTGGTGCAGATGTGCTCTCATAAAAATGTGAGAGCCCCCATTCTTCTTGATCCATTGGAAAACCATCTCCAGCTTTAGGTCCACTGGTCCTGCTGCAGCTCCCAACTCTGGTCCGTGCCCTCACCACCTCCATGAGTCTCTGATAACCAATACTTGGAACCAAAGTTTTGCTTTAATTTTTGGTATCAAACATAAAAGAATGGTCATATAATTTTTTTAAACGAGGCAAAGAAATAGAAATAGAGAGGAACACTTTGTTTTTAAAAGATGAAAATGGAATTTCCAATCAGTAGTCCTCTGATCAGTTCCCTATATCCAACTTTATTCCCACTCCAACTACACCTGATAGTCTGGTAGCAACTTTTCATTTAGAGAAAAATGAAACATTTTGTCTTTCATGATTCTCAGAGTGGGATAGGAGAATGACAGGGTAGGAAAGACGAATGAGGATGGAGAGAAGAATTGGAATTGATATTTTCCTTCCATTCCTCATTTCTCCTTGCACTAGCCTTAGCCCTGTTTCCTCCTCTCTTTGTTTCATGTCTTGAATGATCAAAGATCCTTAACTATATTCCTTTTAAAAATAAGTATATTAATAACAGAAGTGGACATTTGGAATTCTGGACTTAAATGTTCATATATACAACTTTTGGTGATTTTCCAGTGAAAGAAAGGAGGGCTTATTACAGTTGGATCAGGAATTTTCCCCAAAGTCCCAATGTAGCAAGGTTCAGAAGTGGAACTTTTAGGCAATGATTGGATCTGAGAGTTCTGATATCATCAGTGGATTAATCCATTTGATAAAATAATTCATCAAATGGATTAATCCACTGAGAACTGAATGGACTCCTAGGAGTTGAGACCTAGTTGGAAGAAGTAAGTCACTGGGGTGTGCCTGGAAGGGTTTATCTTGTCCCTAGCCCTTTCCCTCCTCACTGCACCCCACACACACACTCTTCCTCCCTCCAGCTGCCCTGAGTTGAGTAGCTTTCCACCCCACTCTCTTCCACCATGATAGTCTGCCTTATCTCAGGCCTAGAGCAATGAAGTCCACTGACCATGGACTGAGACCTCTGAAAACATGAACCAAAATAAACTTTTCCATGGACTGAGACCTCTGAAAACAGGAGCCAAAATAAATAACCCAAGTTGTTCTTGTTAGGTACTTTGGTCATAGTGACACAAAACTAACTAACACAGAGTCTCTTGGTAAAATGGCCAGTTCTAGGTCTGGGGCTGGAAATATGCAAGATGATACCAGAAAGTGTGGTCAGACCAGGCAATAAGGAAGACAATGCGCCTTGTTGAAAAGAAGGCAAGTGTCAAGTTAAAGGGGCAACCGCAAAATGTTGGAACAACTTTCTTCAAATACACCAAATCCATTATAAGTCCATTATTTCCTAAATGATACCAAAACAAACAATCCCACCTTTGGTCACCACTAGAGAACAAAGAAAATCTACTCAATATTCTGCAAAGTGGCACAGAAGGGAGAAAATGAAGCATTTACCTGCCCTTTCTGTGCAAACTTTACCTCAAAGTAAACAAATGGTTGATGAGGGGCATTTCTTTTGATGAAAGTATTCCAGCTGACAAAGGAAGAATAGTAAAATTTGAATATTGCCATTTTATAACCCTAATTAATAATGAATCTAGGCAATGATCTTCAATGGTAACCTACACTTGGGAAGATGACCAGGCATTATGTACAGTGGCTGTACAGCACTCAACCATGAAGTATCCTTTTGAAAACACAGAATCTGGTCAAGCCACTAGACTAATTACCAGTTTGCAGGACATACTGGAGGTAGATGAACACACACAGTGTGTTTAATGATTTTTCATGCAGCAAAATTCAGAATGCAGAAAGCTTTATAGGAAAAATCACCTGCTTTTCTTTTAACCCATACATTGCAAGGAAAAAAGCAATAGCAAGAGAAATGGGGAAACCAACAGACTGAAAGAGACTTGGAGTTTCTATGGACAAAGTATGACATGCAGACCTTGTTGGGGCCCTCTTTCAAACCAGCCAACCTAAAAATGTATTGTGAAATAATCAGAAAAATTAGAACACTGACTGGATATTTGGCGATAGGAAAGAATTTTTATTTTTAGACATGATAATGGTAATGTAGTGGGTTTTATTAATCAAAGAGTTACTGTCTTACACAGACACACATGTACTCATATACTTACTGGTGAAATGATATAATGCAGGAAATGAAATGATATAATGCTTAAGTGAGAAAAGTTGGACATACTGACAAAGGCCTCGCTCTGGGGTCCTCCGGTCATGACAAGGAAGGATTAGCACCTATGGACAGGGGCTCCTTTTTATGTACACTCTAGGCAGATGGCTTGTCCCACCCATGTGATGCCTGGGATTGGCTTCAAAATCATCCACAAATAAGGGAGGGATTGGTATATGGGCATATAAATGAGAGAACATGTGAAACTTTCTATAATTTAAAAAAAACACAATTTAAAAAAATCTTTAAAATTGACCATGCTGGGGTTTTCCTTTTTAATGTTAAGTAAATAGTAACTTTTGAAATAACTGTGACAGTAATTACTGTTTTCAGGTTTACTATCACTCAGCACTAAACTGTGAGCTCTTTCACATCAGAATTTATTCAGCTTTGGTGGATTGATGCAAAAAAGGCAGCACACATCTTTCTGATCCTGGCTCTGTGCTAGGAGCTAGAGATGACATGAACAAGAGAGGACCTACCTACAGGACCCTTATAGTCCAGGACTAAGACAAAAAGAATCAAACTAGCACCAAAAAAAAAAAAAGGATT